TAGCATGTGATCCCAATCATTCTAATGATTCCGAATAAACTATAAATAAATACATTGATTTTGTAAATTTAATGTTTACTTAACTGTACTGACATCTATTTTGCCAATTGATTCAATAAGGTGAAAGAAACCAAATCTCATCTGATTTTCTGTATATACGTTTTTAATTTAATTTCAGCAATCATCTTACACTTTCCAAACAAGTATTGACAATTTTGTTTTGACTTATGATCTGATTCTGCAAAGGCTTCTGCACATGCTTAAGTTTAAGTACCAGAACATTTCTACTGAGTTCAGTGGGACTACTGTTTTTGCAGAATTCGGGCCCTAATTTGTATAACTGGTAGTTATAGCCAAATACATTATGTTATTATTACAGAACACACAGAGAAATAAACACACTGTATTCACATGCAACCACAAAGCTCACTTCTAGTATACATAGCTGCATCCTACAGAGTGCAGTAGCAATGTGATATACTAAATATGCCATCTTTCAGTCTTTGCATTTTCAGGTAGCTCCTGTTCTCAGGAGGAACCAAACTGGGACTAAGTATTATTCTGATATTTTTTCTATGTAGTGGCTCTTATTATTTACACTTCATTCAACCTGTAGACACCCAACACTTACCACACTTAGATTTAATTGAACAATTTGATTGTAAAAGGATTGAGGATTAATGTCAAACATTCATCAGAAAAACACTGACCTAAGTGAGCAACAAGCACATATGTGTATGCTTTCCAGTTCTAAAAGTATTTACATCTTTTATATGCCTTTACTCTTTCATGTACCTGACAAACAAAAAATACTCTCCCGCATCACTCACTTAAAAAATGAAAATTCATCTCATTTATCAGATGATTGTTCAGTAGATTATAGAAAACTTCTCATATAGGGACATAGTTAGAAAACTACTTTTTGCCTTGTACCTGGTAAGTAAACTATTACTAATGATATACCCCCATTATAACTGAAAGGAATAGGTACTCATACCAGTAACATCATTGCTCCCAGTACAAAGGAAGACACTTTAATTGTACCCTCTGCATGATGTTTATATGTGGCAATCGGAAATAGTGAGGACAAGAAGGAAGAGCATACAAAATGAGTGAATTCAACTGCTGAGTCAATCTTTAACTTTAAAAACAATACTGATGAAGAAAAAAATCAGGTCCCACACACTACACTTTTGTAGGGTTGCCCCGACTGCTCTGTGTCCATTGAGTTACTGGTTGTATTTGGAATAACCAATTTTCAATAATCTCACCCTTAATTGAAGAGCATAAATAGACCCTCATCAGGTTCTCTCTTTTGGGTTCTGAGACCAATTTTCCTTACTCTGACAGGTGAAGATTTAGTATGTGTTCCAGGCCACAGTACAATGGCTGTATATTACACCATGACTTTGGTAACAAAACAAATAATAAAAAAATATTTCCTCTATGAAATATCTACCCAAGCCAATCTGTTACTGAGTGAACTTTTTCTATGACTTTTGACATGTTCAGAGTACTGAAATACAGAGTATAGGAAGTGATCTGAATCTTTGAGTGGCTTTAAACTATTAGTTAGTATTATTAAATGATTGAAAACACTTTTATTTTAAAATAAAATATATTTTGTTTGCAATAATGTGATCAATATTTTTCTATAAAATCATATTTGTGTTTTGACGCCATCATGACATATCCGTCATTAGCCATGGCAAACAAGCATCCGTGGTCATTTCCCAGAATTATGAAGTGATGCAATTAATTCAGATTACCAAAAAATCAGCAGATTTTAACTTTCATTTATGGAGAGATGAAGTAATACAGAGGCCCTACTAGAAAGCTTCTCTGAAAACTCCCATTCTAATCCTGTTATAATCCACACTGATGTAAATAAAAATTCAGTCAAAAGCTATATACACTAATAGGACCAAGTTTCTAGATATTGTTATAAGCAAAGGAGGCACCAAAATCTGATATCAAAACACAGCAAAGAAAACTGGCTTGACCACTGAACAGGACCCCAGGTTAATCTAGTCTGTCTGTCTATTTGTAATTGTGTAGTGGAAAACTTTAAATGGAGGAAATGGCTGCTGTTAGACAAGCATTCAGATGTGTATTAAGGAAACATAATATTAGAGTAAATCCAAAGGACATGACTATTTCAAACACAGCAGGCACCAGCCTTAAAAACCTTGGGATGCCATCTACTGAGATCCCTGGCCCTCAGAAGGGTTGGAATTCAGACCTTTCCCTAACAGCTGGTTTCCCAGTGACTGCTGAATCTGAGTTCAAATGAGCCTTTCTCTTTATGGTTGTTGGTCCTTTAAATCTGGGGAAGACAAGTAGCTGCAGTGACCATTTTGCATCTAATTAATACAAGCTCAGTTGGAAAATATTAATTTGGGAAATGAATATTCATACCTCTGATTATGTTCTCTCTGTCCTTCTCTTTCTGTAATCTCCTATCTAATAATAATATCCAGTACTTTTATACAGTTTTCATCAGTAGATCTCAAAGTGCTTTACAACGGGAGGTAAGTATCATTATCTCCAGTTTACAGATGGGGGAAATGAGACATAGTGTGGTGAAGTTACCTGCCTAGCAGACCAGTGGCAGAGTCGGGAATAGTACCCATGTCTCCTGAATCCCTGTCCAGTGCTCTGTTCACTAGGCCACACTGCCTCTAAGTGGATCTAATTTTATGAAAATAATTGTACTGTACTCATCAGACTCTTGAAGTGTTTTGCAAAATAACTGAAAAGCAAAAAAACACATTTTCCCCTCCTTTTCACCTTGATTTCTTCTCTGGCTCCTCTTTCCATATCCATGTTCTATATTCTTTACTGCTCAACAGTTACTTTGTGTAAGACAAGAGAATTAATTGTCAAGATGGAAGCCGCAATCATTCCCAACTTAGCAAAAGCATTAGCTTTTAACATTGAAAAAATGCAAAATACCTGGCAGCAATCACTTATTAATTTCACAGTGAGAGTGGATAGCCTTTGGGAGCAGCTTGAGGGTAGAGAACAGCTGGTGGTTACAGTGCAGGGCTCAAACATTACTGTGCAGAAATGCTTGCAGTCATTAGAAAATAAAGTTATGATCTGGGAGAAAATAATGAAGATAATGAAAAAGGTAATAGACACAACAAGATAAGGATAATTGGACTGCCCAAGGGAACAGAAAGCCAAGATCTTGTGGAGTTCTTTTTCTGGCTACAAATACTTGAAATCCAGGAAAAGGGGACAGATTCAAAATAGAAAGAGCAGACTCTGGTATTTTGGCAAGGATGGCATGTGCCTGAGATCAGGGCCGGCTCTGGCTTTTTTGCCGCCCCAGGAGGGCGGCCGGAGCCCCGGGGGGAGGGCGCCGAGGAGGAGGGTGGCCGGAGCCCTGGGAGGAGGGCGGCGAGCCCCGGCCGGGGCTCCGCTCTCCCCTCGGCGGCCAGAGCGCAGGGGGCAGGGCGGCGAGAGGGCGGTGAGCCCCAGCTGGGGCTTGCCGCCGGGGGAAGGGCGCCCGGGGGGAGGGCGGCCAGAGCGCCGGGGGGAGGGCGGCGAGCCCGGCCATGGCCCCGCTCTCCCCGGCGGCCAGAGCGCTGCGCCGCCCCCCTCCAGGTGCCGCCCCAAGCACAAGCTTGGTGGGCTGGTGCCTGGAGCCGGCCCTGCCTGAGATCAATAATAGTTGAACTACATAACTATAGAGACAGAGCTGTGGCAATTAAAATTAAAAATATTAAATACTAAAGGGCAAATATATCCTTCTTCCAAAACTTTTCTCCACATCTTCAGCACCACTGTTTTCCCTGTGCCACCTACACAAAACAGAAATATGGTCTTTCTCATTCAATTCAACTTTCCCTAAAACACAGACATAAAAGATTAGACTCTCTCAACTTGATCCTCCTGACAGACCTAAAGAAGAAATGCTAGTATGCTACAGTGATAGACATATTAGAGATGTGTGGATATGTGGCCTCTCAGAGCCAATGATGCTATCTCTGACCTGAGTTCTTTGGAGGTAATCAAGCAGTACAAGTCTTTCAAGATCTGAAGGTCTTCAGCCTCTTCTATTGGGCAGCATAAATTACAGGTCCCTCAATTATATCATTTACGTGTGATGTATTCAGTGATGGTTCCTTTCTGGTCAAGAATACTTTGTCATGCCAAAGTAGGTAAAATTCTGTAAGTTGACTCATCTGTTGAAGTGAAGACTTTCACGTTGCATGGAGGTTTTTATCTTTAGTTTGAGTCAGAGGTGAGTGTCATGGGCTTTTGTAGAGTGATTTAAAGTGGGTATGTAAAGTTCTTATAAGTCTTGGTAATGTCACAATATCTACTGAGTGTAAAGCAGTGACACACAATCTTTATCAGCCAAATAGCTACTTTGTTTGTGAACACAGTCTCCTAGGTAGAGAAGAATGTAACATGTTTAGTCTGGTCTACATTTTCAACGGTGGCTAGTGATTTGGGGTGCCTCAGTTTTTGGGTGCTCATATTGAGACCCTTTGAAGAAATATAAAGTATTCGGATTTTCATGCACATTAAATGAGCTCTAAAGAATGATTGCTTGTAATTTTTTTTAAACCTATAGCACTTCAAGAAATTAAAAATAGATGAAGATATTTGCTTTGTGATTCATGTTGTAAGTGTTTAGAGTATCAAACATTTATTTTGGTGGAAAGAGGTTGCACAATTGTTTACTTAGATTTAATTGATGCATCCTTAATGAAATATCTTAAGCTTAGTGATTATATACATATAATTATACAACAATAAGTGAATAATTAATCAAAACATGTAAACTTTGATAAAGATAAACCATTTACTGTGTCTGTGTTTCCTGATGCTGTAGTAGATTATTATTCCCCTTTTCTGTTGCTTTTCTCTCTGTTTGTAATTTTGAAAAATGAAACTTTTAAAAAGTTCTAAAGATCAGATGAAGATTGAGAACTATTGGATTGTTTATGAAAACTTTGTTATACATATATTTCTTTTTACTGCAGATCTAATGCATTTGAAGTGCTTGCACTCGATGGAGTTAGTACTGGGATACTTCAGTTTTATACAGCGCAGGAGTGTGCTGACTGGCTGAGAGCATTATCAACTAACATCTCTGATTTGACACTTCAAAATGTATGTTACTTTCTGCATATTTTCCTGCATTTGCTATATTTAAATTATTTTTAATTTCCCAAGCATAGTATAATAATTTGTATATAAGGTATAATATATAAAACAAAAGAATGAGGGGGAAGAAACAAAATTGTAGTAGCATAACACTTTACCTTGAAGTCTCCAAGAAAATACAACCTTATTATATAATAGAGAACAACAGAATCTCAAGGTGACTTTTTATTACTTTCAAAAAATTTTTAGGGCCCAATCGGAAAAGTCTTTTCATTGACTTCATTGAGTTTTGGATGAGGCCTAAATGTATTCTTTTTAAATTCTTGCAGTTAAAGTATGCTTGAAATCTGGTTTCAGAAGTTTGCATTACTTGTTTTGGAAATATGTGAAGGGAAACTTTGTAACTAAAGCAGTGTAATTTAGGGCTGGTCTATATGCAGTTTTTCTACTGCTATAATGAGTTTAGAAAGTGATGTAGCTAAAGGATTACAATCCCCTAGTGTGGTCTCCAGTAAAAAGGTGCTTGTATCAGAATTAACATATTGCTGTAAATTTAAAAGTAAAGTTTGTAATGCTGGGGCTCGCGGCTTCAGCCCTATGGGGCACACCTGCCAGGGCTCGGGGTTTTTGCCCTGCAGCAAGGTAGTAGGCCTTGAGGCTTCTGCCCCATGGGAGGCACCTGAACCCCACCACCCTGCCAGAGGGCAGAAGCACCGAGCTCCCCTCCCCACCAATCTGTTAGGCAGAGAAGGGGGGCACGGTGGGCTCCGGGAGCTGCCCTTTAACTGTAAAAGGGCTGCATGTGGTTTGCGAGTCGCGGTTTGGCCACCCCTGCTATATACCACAATATTTCATATCTCCACCAACTTTCTGTTACTGATCACCAGAGTAACACAATAGAACATCTGATGTGCATGTACATTCCCATTCCTCATTGGGAAGGATATGATCAAATTCCCTTAACAGGCTGTGTCAGACCTGCAGTCTGGGAAACATCTCAACAAGCCTGAAAATTAAGCATTGCTCTGTTTGGAATATACTTTACTGGTCATCAGTACATACAGCAGAGTGAGAGTTCAACCAAAAAGGATCTATTTAGATGCCACACTGATTCCAGGAGACAATACTAATATCGGCAATACCAGCATAGGTCTTTCATCACAATCAGGAACTTCCGCTAGTTGCAAAGCAGTGACCTAATTCACAGAAACATTTTCAGCAAAGTCAGGCTGTCAGGGGACCTGGGGTGGTAATGTTATCTTTGAGTACAGAGGAAGTCAGCTGTTGTCTAGCCACAGGAGGATACCTGGGTATGTCAGTGTGTCTACCAATAGCATGTGTCTGAATTGTTCTGATGCTACTGTGCAGACAGTTACTTCTGAGGAGAAAGATGGAGAGGAGGGGCATGGAAGAGGAACTAAAGGGTCATGGTGGGGAAGAACAGGATATGGAGGAGGAGAATAAATTGACTCTTTCAGCACTACTAATTACTGCATAATCCATAATGAGCTTCATGTGAAAAGCCTGATAGTAACTATCATATTTACAAACAGAACACATGCTGCAGTTTTCCTGAAGAATTCCTCTCCCCATCCCATTTCCCAAGTTCTTTTGCATTTCCCATTATCCTTTCCATCAGTGTGGCACTCTGTGCTTCATCCCCTTCCCTTTTGCCCCACATGCTGGATATTTAGGTTTGGAAGAAGAAGGAAGCAGAGGAGAACAGAGCTGCTCTGATTTCTCAAAGCACCCCCTTCGAGGGGAGAAAGATACACTGCTGTGGTCTCTTTACAGTACTCTGCTCCCCAACACATCCTATAGCCCCTAAGGGGAGAGAAGGAACAGGAGCCAACTGGGGAACTGAGACTATGCTGAGCTAGCAGCATAGGAAGGAGCCTGACCTCCATCCACTTCTCTCTCAATGTGTATAGTCAAAGGGTCTCCTGTAGGCTGAGTTGACAATACTGTTTAACTGGAGAGTTTTTGGGAGGGAGTTCTGTAGAATAGCTCAGAATTAATCATATACTTGTAGGACTGGAAGGGACCTCGAGAGGTCATCTGGTCCAGTCCCCTGCATTCTCGCCATAGTATACAGTTAGCCATGTATTAAATCACTTGTGATTTTTATTAACTCTTCTCACAGCTCTTAATTGCTATTATCCTAAACACAGCACAGAGCGTCAGGATAAGGGTATTATAGGCAGCACACCTGGCAACACCTGGTTGCCTGTGTGTTTCTACTATAGAGGCCCATTTCAAAGTACTTACACTTTTCTCAAAATTGTACCTCTTTTACCTAAAATTAATATGTTCTCTTTTTTTAAATTAAATCAAAAATTGCTTTGAAAACCATTGTTTCTGTACCATTTTATTAAACAGCCCTAAAGCCTCAGTAGAAGATTAAATAAACTTAAAATTTGGCCTCAGAATAGGGACATAATTCCTAGATCATGGATGTATCTTTCATCTGATCAGTGAACACTGGATTTGAGTTGGATGAGTTTAAAAAATTGTCCTTTATGCCTGTATATTGGATGAAAAGTGATAACATTATATAACCCAAAATTCCACCGACGGTTTATATGTATGTGTATATAGAGTAAGGTGAAACTCCCATTGAGTAGATAACATCTCATGTTTTCAATGTATGCACAAGTGTGCCAAACAAAGCACAGTGAAATTTCAGGTGTACTAGGCAGAGGATTATGGAATATGATCTGTGAAACTGCATATGAATGGAGACAGAAGCCAAGGAATCTTGCTTTCCTACCCACACTAGGTGTGGTGGATGTGGATTAAGGCAGGTCCTTGAAAAAATCCTGACTACTTCTATAACTCATAAAAATCGCACATGGTATAAGGCAAAGATTTCTGCCTCATGGATTGCACCTTATGCATTACACAGTGTTCTGCTGCTGTCTAGAAAGTAGTAGCACATGAGAGTAGACAACTAGAGGCTTCCTCACCCCTAACCCCAACATCCGCAAAAAGTTGAAGGATTGCATTATAAATAAAGGAAACATTGAGTTGGAACAGAAGCTCATTTATTTCATTTTATTAAAGTGGACAAATTTAGTCAAACTACTCATTAAAGTGATATTCAGCAGCTATTATTTTATTATATTTTAACTAGTGCCTCCGCTGAATAAAAATGTGTACATCCCTGTAGCTCATGATGGAATTTCTTTGCTTCTTTATTTTTTTTTATAAACATTAATTCCATACAGAAAAAAACTACATTAAAAATAGAGGTTGCAAAAGGAAGCACTCAGAAGTCAGGAAGTGACAAAGATAAGGTTGCATGTGCAACCGTGAACTTCCCCAATGTGAATGGATGACAATATAGTAATTATAGCATCACTTATTTGTTTTCTCCAGGTTCCCTGTGTCACTTCACTCTTTGGCTAGTGAACTGGGCTAGGGTCCAAAGAATCCTTTCTTATTCATTGTACTAATTGTATGGTGTGTCATGAATGAGGCTGTTGTCCATAGTACTGATCCATGGTACTGATCTAATGTATTCTACAAATACATTAGAAGCAAGAGGAAGACCAAGGACAGAGTAGGCCCGTTATTCAATGAGGGGAGGAAAGACAATAACAGAATATGTGAAAATGGCAGAGATGCTTAATGACTTCTTTGTTTCGGTTTTCACTAAGGTTGGTGGCGATTGGATGTCTAACATAGTGAATGCCAGTGAAAATGAGATAGGATCAGAATCTAAAATAGGGAAAGAACAAGTAAAAAATTACTTAGACAAGTTAGATGTCTTCAAATCACCAGGGCCTGATGAAATACATCCTAAAATACTCAAGGAGCTGATTGAGGAGATATCTGAGCCATTAGCAATTATCTTTGAAAAGTCATGGAAGATGGGAGACATTCCAGAAGACTGGAAAAGGGCAAATATAGTGCCTATCTATAAGAAGGGAAATAAGGACAACCTGGGGAATTACAGACCAGTCAGCTTAACTTCTGTACTTGGAAAGATAATGGAGCAAATAATTTAAGCAATCAATTTGCAAACACCTAGAAGATATTAAGGTGATAAATAACAGTCAGCATGGATTTGTCAAAAACAATCATGTCAAACCAACCTGACAGCTTTCTTTGACACGCCTTGTGGATGGAAGGAATCAGTAGATGTGGTATATCTTGACTTTAGTAAGGCTTTTGATACTGTCTCGCATGACCGTCTCATATACAAACTAGGGAAATACAACGTAGATGGAGCTACTATAAGGTGGGTGCATAACTGGTTGGAAAATCATTCCCAGAGAGTAGTTATCAGTGGTTCACAGTCATGCTGGAAGGGTATAACGAGTGGGGTCCCACAGGGATCGGTTCTGGATCCGGTTCTGTTCAATATCTTCATCAATGATTTAGATAATGGCATAGAGAGTACACTTATAATATGTCCCTGATAATGCAATAATATGACAAATGATAGCATCAATATATTAATCACTCTGACTATTCTTTAATCTCTGTTTTTCTGCAGATGAAAATGGCAAATAAATGCTGCTCTCTATCAGACCAGGTAAGATTTTAATTGTATTGTCCATAAATATTTACCATTAATTAAATCTCTTTAAAAATTGCTGGGAAAAAAAATCTGCTCCGTGTATTCTTTTAGGATGCAAAAATTTTGGAGCTACATGTAGACATATACTCAGATTGCAAGTTCTAAATATACATTTTCTTTAGGCAAAACAGGTTTTAGATTCTGAGGGGCCCTACTTCACATAAAAGAATCTTATTAATTCACACTAGTAACTAAAAGCATCTATTGCAGATTAACCCAGTTTGTAAATTAGAAAGTAAGCACAAACATAATAGTAAAAAGTAAGGATACTCCATTACAAATGCACTCTCTTCATTTACTTTGAAAGTATAATTTCAGTTTTCCTCCACAATTGTAATAGTCTAGCAAGTGAATTGCATTCTGTTTTATACAAATATTGAAATCTTAGTAATATGATCTATCATTGCAGCAGCCTGCTATTAAATCCTTGCTGAGAAATGGGGAGTGACCACTTTTTGTTTTTATGAGTTGTTTTATGGGTTTTCAGATTGGTGAAGTGAGAATTAGCCAGGTTATACTTCTAGAATGGAAATGATGTTCATAAACTGAACTGTACTGCAAGCAAAGGCTGATTCTAAAATCCTTCTAAAACCTGTTAGAGTCAAACATAAGTTTGTTATGTAATTAACAACTCACACATTAGTTCATCTCTTACTTTGTTTTGTCATCTTGTTTGTAAAATCTTGTTGGGAGATTTATAGAAACTTTTAGGAGGTTTATCAAATTTCTAACCCACTAGCAATTTTTGTATCTAGGAAACCACTTCACTTTTCTTATAGGAGAATCAATGTTATGCAGAATTAAATGACTCGAGAGCTATTAAAGAATTTTAAGTGCAATAGAGAATGAGCCCAAAAGTTACATCAAAAACAAAATGAATGGATGTTCCATTGAAACTTTAGTTTCTCACATAGTTCTTCCTCGTGAAACAGCCTAATATGAATAAAATATATAATTAAAAATAGCAAAAAAAAATCATTGAAACTAGATGTTTGTTGCTAGATTATCTCTCGATTACTGATATTTAAGCAAATATTTGCAGAGAAGAATACGCATCTTAAGACTCGTTTTTGAAGTACTGCTATTTATTTAAATGACTATCCAATAAGGGTTGATGAGCGATATTCTGTATAATTGGTTTGCCCACCTGTGGTACTATATCAATAACAAATACTACTAATAATGTAATTTGTGCTTCCATTGGTACCTAATGCACTTGGGAAGCACTTTTATGGATCTGTGTGGATGCTAAAATCAAGCATAGGCTTAATAGCATCTGTTTTATAACTTACTATGTGAAAGGTTGAATAAGAAATTCTGTTTGTATTTTATTAATTAGCAAAGGGGCAAATCTTGGACACTGCCTGTGCATGAAATTCCCATTGAAATCAACAGGAGTTTCACTGAAGGAGGGTTTGCAGGATTCGGTGCAAATGCTCTAGTTCAAGATATTAAAGGGATAAGGACAATGGGGCAGAGTTAAAGATGAACTTTCTCCCTTAATTCCTGACTTTTGCAAGTGGTTGATTTCTTAATTTTAATGTTCCATCAATATGAATTTAGTACATATACCTTTGTTTTTCAAAATAAATACTTTTCTCTGCAATATTTGATAGAGCAATGCTGTTTCCATTCAAGATGCCAAACATATTATAAGAAACTAAATCAGAATATTAATTTTAGAATCAGCAAAAGCTAAGGTATGCCTATAAATGATTCTGCTGGGGAAGGTACTGTGCAAAAAGGGAAAAGAAAACAAAGATTATATAGAACTTGGCAAGATGAAGTGAATAAAAGAACAACAATATGACTTTGAAATGTCCTATGAAATTGAGCCCTAAAGAAATGCTCAACCAAATATGAAACTCTTGTGTACATTTCACCAGGGAATGTGGTTATTTGGACTTGGGAAAGAAAACTTTGCAGTAATAAATGAAAATGGTGGGCAGAAGAGGATTTGAGATGCTTAAGATTAATGGAGCCTATCAGTGCTAAACTACATAGGTTTATGAATCTATACTGTTTCTTAGGGCATCTGACTGTAAAGGGGAATAAAACTTACAGGGTACGTGATGAAAAAATATTTGAGAAACTGAAGGAGATTTGAAAAGCTACTTTGATGTGAATTTGTGGAAGGATATTTGTGTATTTTAAGGCTTGGAAATACTTACAAAAATAAGATGGAAGCTTTCTGTGGAGTTTGCTTGTTTGTTTGTTTGTGAGCATGAGCATTCCTGTATAGTTAGCTAGGGTATATGGCTTTCATTTCTATTTCATTCTGGAACCACAGTTTTCCCCATGAACTTTAAACCCCCAAGTTCATTTATCATATTATTGTCTTCTGAAGACTCTACCTATGCTTGGCCTGTCAGTGTAGGTACTCCACCTTTCTGATAGGTGGTAGCTGTGTCGATGGGAGAAGGCCTCTTGTCAGCATAGAGCTCTCTACACCGGGGAGTTAGGTCGGTATGTACTTCATCACACCTTCATTGTCACCTTCACTTTGCATTGGAACCTGAAATAAGACATTGCATCTGTGTTGAAAACCAACCTAATCTTAATGACAGCAGTTTATTCTAGACACTGTGTGCTCATGCTAGGGTGAGAAATGCCTTGGAGAGAACTGTGGTGTTGGGGACTATTCTTTTAGTGTCCGGACTTCCAGAGACGAAGTCTAAGGGGGTATTGTAGAAGCTCATGTTGTTGTTATGCACAGTCAGTTGAAACAGGTAACAGAATAAAGCAGATCTTTTTTCTAGCACCTTAAGCACTGAAGGATCACTGAACACCACAGAGTACCAGGAGTAAAAAGGAACTAAGAAAATACCTAGACTGGAAGAATAGAGCAGTTAAAAGCTCCACCCAATGAAATTCTCTTGAAACATGGAAGATAACTGGAGAAGCTTTAAAGAGCACTTTATTCTATATCTGCAAGCACTGGGTGCCTGCAAGAAAGATAACAGTGAGAAGGTAGCCTTATTTCTGATAATAGCTAGTTCTGAAGCACTTGGTATATTTAATAGTTTTCAGTTAACTTAGGCAGGGGCTAACTATGAAACTGTACTACAAAAATTTGATGGGTACTGCACTTCACATTAAAATGAAACATGAGAGAGAGATTTTTAAACAGGTAGTACAAAAAAGAAGGTGAAACCATAGAAGAGTTTGTTACTGATCTAAGGCTGAAGAGCCAATCTTGCAATTTTGGGGAGCTGAGTCTCTGACAAGAGGCCAGAACGTGGCTGGGATCTGGAATAAAATACTCAGAGATAGACTACTGGAAGAAGAAACCCTTGACAGAGCAATTAAAATTTGCCAAGCAAAGAAAGTTATGCAGTCCTTATGGAGGATGGACACTGCTCTGACACTATAGACATGATAGAGAATCCCAAATACTACATGAAAAGAATCATGAGGCAGAAAAACATGTGGACCTCAAAGTTGGAGTCAAGGAAAAACAGCAAATGGATTTACACACACTGTGGCAACCAAGCAGGAGTGGTGATTGAACATTTGCCAACTCCATTGTCTTATAAAAATCCTTGGAGTTACTTGGGACCAATGGATCACCAATAATGAGATACTTGAAAGAACCGGCCTACAGTCTATGCAGACTACGCTAGACATTCACAGGCTTCGCTGGCTGGGACATGTGGAGCACATGCCTCAAGATCATCTGCCATGCTCTATGGCCAACTTACCAACTGCCTGAGACACAGAGGAAGGTCAAAGCTCTGATGCAGTCTCAAGGTCAAGCAAGGTCTCAAGAAATTTAGCAGTCCCACTGAAAACTGGGAAAATCCTGCCCACAATAGCTGAGTTTGGAGAAGCCAGGATAAGGCTGGTACAGTCACCATGGAGAGCCATCAGAAAGGCCAGGCTGAGGCCCGCAGGTGAGCCAGGAAACAGAGTATTCAATTTCCATCTGGCAAGTGGACCCAGGGCCAGCTCTAGGATTTATGCCGCCCAAAGCAAAAACAATTTTGGCCGCCCCCCCAGCCCCGCCTCAACTCCGCCCCTTCCCCAAATCCCCAGCCCTGCCTCCTCCCCCCAGGCTCTCAAGCCAGGGAGGGAGAGCAGCGGCGCGCGAAACAGGTGTTTCGCGCGCCGCGGCCGCTTGGGATCTCCCCCTCCCTCCTAGGTTTGAGAGCCTGGGAGGGAGGGCGAGTAGCGGCGCGCGAGCGGCAGCGGAGGTGAACTAGGGCGGCTGGGGCACATTTTTAGGGGTGGCATTCTGGCGCCGGCCATGCCGCCCCTAAAAATGTGCCGCCCCAAGCACCAGCTTGTTTTGCTGGTGCCTAGAGCCGGCCCTGAGTGGACCTGTAGCCACTGTGGGAAGGTTTGCTGCTCATGCATCTTTTCCCATGCCATTGCTAAGAACCTCTGACAGACTAACTTTGTTGTGTCTCCTTTCATCTGTCAAGATGTTGGACAGCCCTGGCAATCAATGTGAGCCAAGACAATGTCTGGCATATAGGAAAAGATGCAAGAAATACAACGGACTAAATCACTTTGCAAGAATTTGCAAACACCAGAAGACTATGCACAGCATGGACAAAGAGGACAACTGCTAGCTCAGCTGAATTATCCATAGGAGCAATGGACAATGTTGCAGCGGAAGCTGAAAGCAAATTAGACATTTATTAATTTTAAATTGAATGTGGGTGCAGAAGCCAGTGTGTGGCCAAAAACAGTGTAGTTAGTACTAAAAGAAACACCACACATATTGGAGGGTAAAATTCAGGTCTTACAGTGGTAAGCTTATCCCCACTAAAGATATAAATGAACGAGATGTATGGGTAAATAACATACTGGAAAATATATGATTTGTAATAGTAGCAGGGAGAAGAGATCCTGTTATCGGTTAAAAGTGTGTCAAGCCCTTGGTCTTATCAAGAGGGTACCCTTTTTAGAGGGACGAGGGACTACAACAATTTAACAAGAGTTTGAGGACA